AGCTAAATGTAATAGCAGTTCCTATCAATAAAGTTAATGCTACTTCTTACTTACTTGAGTCAAACACTTTATGGCATTCACGCTTAGGTCACGTCAACTTCAAAACATTGCGAAAAATGATAAATTTAGAAGTATTGCCAAAATTTGATTGCATTAATTCCAAATGTCAAATATGTGTGGAATCAAAGTATGCTAAGCATCCTTATAAGTCCGTTGAAAGGAATTCAAGTCCTTTAGACTTAATTCACACAGATATTTGTGACATGAAGTCAACACCTCCTCGCGGTGGGAAAAAGTATTTTATTACTTTTATTGACGATAGCACGAGATATTGCTATGTTTATTTACTTAATAGTAAAGATGAGGCAATTGATTCCTTGAAGCAATACAAGAGTGAAGTTGAAACACAACTAAACAAAAAGATCAAAATGATAAGAAGTGATAGGGGTGGAGAATATGAATCTCCTTTTGAAGAAGTATGTTTGGAAAATGGCATTATTCACCAAACAACTGCCCCTTACTCTCCACAATCTAATGGAATTGCGGAGAGAAAGAATCGAACGTTGAAAGAGATGATGAATGCGTTCTGGTTTACCACAGAACTTGTGGGGGGAAGCTATACTTACAGCTAACCGAATAATCAACCGTGTACCTCATAGTAAAACACAGTCCATTCCCTATGAAAAATGGAAAGGAAGGAAGCCCAGCTTGAAATACTTCAAAGTGTGGGGGTGTTTAGCTAAGGTACAAGTTCCTAAACCTAAAAGGGTTATGATAGGTCCAAAACCGGTTGATTGTGTATTTATTGGATATGTAACCAATAGCAAGGCATATCGTTTTCTGGTTCATAAGTCAGAAAATCCTGAGATTCACGTTAATACGATAATAGAATCAGATAATGCTGAATTCTTTGAAACTATTTATCCGTATAAAAAGGAAAGTGAAGTGACCTACCAAAAGTCAAAACGACCTCGGGAGGAAATAACAGATGGTATGCCTAATGAGGAAAATCCGAGAAGAAGTAAACGTCAACGGACATCTACTTCATTCGGTCTAGATTTTCTGACTTTCCTGCTAGAAAATGATCCTCGTACCTTCAAGGAAGCAATGTCTTCCTCAGAAGCACAATATTGGAAAGAAGCTGTCAATAGTGAAATAGAATCCATATTGAGCAACCATACATGGGAATTGGTTGATCTTCCTCCAGGTAACATAACATTGGGTTCTAAATGGATTTTTAAAAAGAAAATGAAAGACGATGGTACTATTGACAAATACAAGGCAAGACTTGTTGTCAAAGGATTTAGACAACGAGAAGGTCTTGACTATTTTGACACATACTCGCCGGTAACAAGAATTACATTCATTCGGATGCTAATAGCGTTAGTCGCCTTGTATGATCTTTAAATCCATCAAATGGATGTAAAAACAGCCTTCTTAAATGGTGATTTAGAGGAAGAAATTTACATGGACCAACCTGAAGGATTTGTGGTTCCGGGAAAAGAAAAGAAGGCGTGTCGACTTGTTAAGTCTCTTTATGGACTAAAACAAGCACCCAAGCAATGGCATGCGAAATTTGACTAAACAATGTTGTCAAATGACTTTAAGATTAATGAATGTGATAAATGTGTTTACATTAAGAACGTTCCAAATCATATAGTCATTGTTTGCTTATATGGTGATGATATGCTAATAATGAGCAAAGATATTGCTGACATTCAAGCTACTAAGCGTATGCTTGCTAGTAAGTTTGATATGAAAGACTTAGGAGTTGCCGATGTAATTCTAGGAATTAAAATCCAGAGGACTCCTCAGGGTCTAGCTTTGTCTCAATCACATTACGTGAAAATGGTACTTGAAAAATTCAAACACTTGGAATTTAGAAGTGCAAGAACTCCAATTGACTTAAATCATCTTATAAAGAATAAAGGTGAAAGTACGTCTCAATTGGAGTATGCTCGTGTGTTGGGAAGCTTAATGTACATCATGAACTGTACACGACCTGATATAGCTTGTGCAATAAGTAAACTTAGTCGATTCACAAGTAATCCAAACAAACATCACTGGGTGGCAATGAAACGAGTTCTGGGATATTTGGAATATACCCAAGACTACGCTTTGCACTACAATAAATATCCTGCGGTTATCGAAGGATATAGTGATGCAAATTGGATAACCGGCTCAATAGAAATAAAGTCCACAAGTGGATATGTTTTTACTGTTGGTGGAGGAGCAGTATCTTGGAAGTCTTCCAAACAAACGTGCATCGCTCGCTCTACAATGGAATCAGAGTTTATAGCTTTGGATAAAGCCGGTGAAGAAGCTGAATGGCTTCGAAATTTCTTAGAAGACATTTCGTTCTGGCCAAAACCTTTGGCTCCTATTTGCATACATTGCGATAGTGAGGCTGCTATAGGACGGGCAGGGAGCGTTATGTATAACGGAAAGTCTCGTCATATACGACGAAGACATAACACCGTTAGACAACTACTTTCTAGTGGAATTATCACTATTGATTATGTAAGATCAAAGGATAATATGGCGGATCCGCTTACAAAAGGCTTAACTAGAGAGGGAGTTGAGAAATCATCTAAGGGAATGGGACTATGGCCGAGGACAAGTCAACATGGCGGTAACTCTACCTAGAATTTTGGATGTTCCGAGATCTAGGTTCAAGGAGCTCAAACAAAGTTGTGATTGACCGGTTCAACATTGTCAAAGTAAAATCTTTGGTCCCTTCTCGTGATGAAGACAATGTTCAGTAACAAGGATAGAACTTTACACGTTCTTTAATGATTACCTAAGTTTGATGTGGTATTTATCAAATAGTGTCAATCTAAAGGATTACACGTTTAGGAATCACCTATGTAAGTGTGAAGTGGAAGCCGCTTCAATGAGAATTTTGTAAGGCCAATTCTCTAAACACTTATGAAACCAGGCGGTGTTCATGGCTGAAACGAACACAACAATGAGAACCAAAAGACGGTTAAGGGTTGGTTGTGTGACATATGGTTGTCTAGGTATACACTAAAGTTCGACGGTTCAAAGATATCAAATCTACCGATTGACCGAGTATATCCGACATATGTTCACTACGGAAAGTTCAAAGGGAAACCTACTTATCCAGATGCAATTAATCCTTACTTGCAAATCACACAACTTTCATCTATGATCATTCTTGTTACAGCCATTCCCATTCATGTGGGGGATTGTTGGACTTTAAGCATTGGGCTTAAGACTTTAAGCATTGGGCTTTAAAAGTCTAAGAGTGTAAATTGGAAATGGTGGGAAATGAAAATTTGAATGAAGTGAGCTTTTGACTTGCACTTTGCCCCTCACTGGTGAGGGACAACTACATTTGTGTGCTTATATATAGAATCACTTCTTAAAGCTCTTAAAAGGAGTTGAAGAGAATGAACCCTCGTGCCGTCGTCGTCGCTCGCTCGGCTTCGGCTTTGGCTTTGGCTTTGGATTTGTCAAATGATCGATCGATAAGATTATTTTTGGACAAAATTTATTTAATTAATTATTTAATAATTAATTAAATGCCAGATCACTGCTGAAGATTCAGAAGGATTGTCTGGCCGCGGTCCTGGCGTAACCGCGGTAGGCCCGAGCCAGAGCACTGCTGCAGATTCAGAAGGCTAGTTTGGCCGCGGTCCTGGCGTAACCGCGGCAGGACGCGTAAACTTCTGAACAGACACCTTTTCCAGAACAAACGTCACACCTCTTCCAATAATTGCCTATAAATTCTGAGGCATGGCTTCGTTTCTAACACACCAAAAACATTACAGAACTTCCTTCTTTCTGAAAATACTGCATTCTAATTCGCAGTCTCTCTCTCTCAAATTCGTAAGTGTGATTTTGCTCCGTTCTTTGAGTTCGTTGGTATCCTGCAGTTTGTATTGCCTCTGTTGTAGGAAGGTTTATTCCATTTCATCCTGGGAGGATTTAATCCATTACCTTGGCAACTTGTGAGGGGGTTAAAATTCCTTAAGGACGCACAAGTAAATTGTGGACTCGGAATATTTCTTATTCTTTACTGTTTTTCAGTTTCTTTTATTCTTCTAACAGTTTTCTGATTTTGTGTTTTAACACAGTAGCGAACAACAAAGAGGAGAGGAGAAAAAAAATAAAAATTGTATACCTGAATCCCCAAATTTAAGGCTGTTTGACCAAAAAATAATATATACTTTCAGTTAAGCTATTAAATCTTGTGTAACAAAGGGTTAAACCTAGCTAGTAATAATATCTCTAGATCTAGAACCATCTAGCATAAATGACGTGAGATAATGTTGGTGGGGAGCTATAAACAGAGCACATTTAATATTCCAAAAGATTGGAGCAATAATAGAGTAACATCAAGCAATGAATAGCAATAAATGACATTTGTATAAATAAGGAAGATGATTCACCCAATATTGAATGAGGTGGATGATTCTTTCTTCTGAGAGTGGTGAATGACATACAAATCCTAGAATATTGGAACTATTCTCGGATCTGATGGAAAAATATGAAATAATAGATGATGGAATCTTAGTAAAAATGCAGAGTTTGTACTTTTGCTAGAGAGAGAGTCTTCTTATCAAAAAAAGTGTTTTTATCAAGTGAATATTATATACCTTACCCCCTTATCCCTTTTTCTTTCCTAACAACCCTAACATTACAAATCAAGGGAATATGCAAGGGAATATTCTCTTTAGTATCTTATTTCAAGTAGTGACCGTTGCAACCGTGGTCAGCTCCTCGGTCACGAACCTTGGTGCTTCCTATCAGACCTCGGCCAATCCCTTCCTCGACGTTGTGTTATTCCATTTTTCTTAGGGCAGATTTTGGCCTATACAAAGGCACTAATAATGGGTTGTATATAAATTGTAAGCAATCGTTGTTTAGGGGAGTAATATATAAAATTAGATCAATTACGAAAAAATTTCAACAAAATATGTAGGGCGGAGAGGGGCCATCTATATTTTTGGTGAAACCACGGAGTTCGTCAAACGACGACCAAAGTAGGAAAGGGAAAATTAGTTAAATGAATTCAACGCTCTCTTCTTAAGTCGTCCCTTTTCTTTTCTTTTTTATTTTCCATCTCTACGGCTCCTTTTCTTTCGTAATTTATACCAATTAGCCATCGCTCTTTCTCTGCTACTCTCTCCTCTGTTTCTCTGCTGAAATTCCCAGTTCCAGCAGCAGATTTTTCCCGTTGAACCCATAATTCAGCTGGAATTATAAGGTTTACTTTCTTGCTTTAGTAGAGATAGCTTTTCTTTACTTGGTTTTACTTGTTCGACGCGTTTCTTTGAGTTTCTTGGTATTCAATTTCACTATATCTTTTCCTACAAGTTAAGGTGAACTGTCTGTTTTCTGATATTTCTCATTCTTTTTTCTTAAATTTTTATTGGGAATGCATGTCGACAAGTAAAATTAGCCTCGAAGCATGTTATTGATCAAAAAAGTTTTTGAGGCATCAGTTGTATTAATAGGGAAAACTGTTCTCCTTACCTTAAAATTTCTATGAGAGCAAAACAAAAGCCAACATGACATATCTATGTTTTAATTTACCAAAAAAATTACATTAGGATATGATTGGAAGATAATGAATTTGACAAAATAATTATACTCTCAAATTATGTCTCTTAAATTTCATGATATCATATCCTGAAATTAAATGCTCTAATAGCTATGTGAATATAATTTCTACTTGAAGGGAGATTTAGGTTACTTAGCGGCAGAGGCGGAACTAAGTAGAGTGAAGGGGGTTCGTCGGAAAATTACAGCGTGCTATGTGAGCTGTTGAATCCCCTTCACATGAAGAAAAATTCAAGTTGTAGTGAAGGGGGTTCAAACATTGCTTTAGGTCATAGGTTTAAATCCTAACTGCGATATCCTTCTTCTTTTTTTTGAATCCCCTTGTACAAATTTCTGGTTCAGCCACAGCTTAGCTGCTAGATATTCATTTTTATAGTATTGGAAGTGAAGGCGAAGTTAGAGTGACAGTACTAAGAAGAATGATAACTTAATTCGTAATGAATCTAACTTATGGTTTTCTGTTGATACAAGCTTTTTCTCTAAAGAAAATTACTATTTTAATGCATTATAATGAATTCCAGTACTGGGAGTATTTGAACAGAAGTATACAGATGTTTATGTCTCAGGAGATGAATGCACACTCACAACTACTTAATCATCTCTGTTGCGTATACAGCTTTTTCAGTTGTCTCAATATGCTATTGTCTGAAAACTTTGGTTCACTTTGGATGGTCGTTTTCCGCTTGCCTCCTGAGGTCCTGGAAATTTGCTAATTTGCTTTATTAAGTTGCATTAACTAATCCAGTTTACTTTAGAAATTTGTTTCGAGTACTCGTCAAACTTTTATTTCTTTTTTGGATTTTGTAGTTTCTGTTGACAAGGACTTGAAGTCATTTTGCACCTTCTGTTCTTTAAACTGTCAAGCTTCATGACAAAAGCTTTTTTTTCATTAAAATGCTGCTAAATTCCTCTTGCAGGTTGAGCATCTGAGGGATGGGAACTTCTGAAATAGATGAGATGCCGATGTTATCACTATCATATCCGCAGTCTAATGAAATTGATGGCTTTCAAAATCAACGTTTTGCGTACAGGGCAAGGAGTGCATCCTTATCAACGCCAATGAGCTCTATGGATTCCTTTTGAAATGATAGTAGTTTTGTAGGCTATACCGGTCCTTTGAGAAGTGAGGGGCGAAATTCATTGGTTCATATGAGCGGGCCACTATATATTAGTCACAAGCCTGAGAATAGCTCTCGGTCCACTCCCACTGCAGTAGTGCACAAACCAACTCTGCCAACAACAGAAAAATATCCTTCAATTGGCAGTGGAGAACAAAATGGTTGGACTAATAATGACTACACTGGAAAAAATGAACATCTATTGAAGTCTGGTCAACTGGGTATGTGCAGTGATCCTTACTGCACAACATGCCCAACCGATAACCATTTGAAAGCACTAAAAAAAAGTTCAAAGTCTTCAGATATGTTTGATCACCGGGTATTGCACTTTGCTCAAGTTAAATGTATGCCTTCCTAGCTATGTTGCTACGATGTGTTTTTTTTAGAGCCCCCATGCTAGCTTTATCTACCATGCACACTATTTTCAAAATATGCATTTTGTTTATCATCTCGCATAGTCAAAATTTCAACTTTGGCCACATAGGAAGTTTCGCTTTTTGTTGGGCTTTTATTGTTTTGTAAACAACTGTGCATGTCCAATCAAGTTTCCCTATTTTTGCATTCAAGTTGATGATATACTTTTGAATCCATAATGCTCAAACTTTGGTGTTATTCTCGGTTATGGTTCTTGCAATTAAAAGAGCTTTGTGGTTCCCAGTTCCAATATCCCTTATTAGAATGACCTTGTCCATATCTCAAATAAGATTTTTAGTCTGGATTCATCAGTTTAAACATTTTGCAAGTTTTTGGTGTAAGAGTAGTATACTGGAAAATGTGAAACAATACTTGGATTTCTAGAGATTCTAGGGAGGATTACATAATAGGCTATTTTTGATCCTTCTGGCCATGTATTTTTGTGTACCATCTTGGTACTTTATTTAATGACAACCTTTACGTTATCAAAAATAAAAATAAAAAACTGTAGTGCAAGTTCAATTGTAAGTATATTTGCGCTTTCTTAACAGTTGACAAGGATGATTATATGGTAGTGCTGATTAACAGTCCAATATTAAAATACTCCATCCTTCCACCCATTATGTCTTTGTTTGTGCTAATTATAGTCATTCTGGCGTAGTGCGAATGGTGAAAATAGAAATGGAAGATGTTCTAGCAACTTCCTGCAATTATTCTCAAGATGTTATAAGGATGAGAAGGGAGTGTGTAGTCTATGTAGATAGAGATGAATAAAGTATACTGTAGCATAAGATCTGTTGTCCAAAAAAGTGGTCTAAAGCTGCTTCCAATTACGTTTTCATTGTTTCATTCGGGAGGATGAACTAGACTTTTTCCATCGCCCCATAGTTATGGTAAGTCTTGAGTAGAAATGGTTTCTTCTTCTTCTTCTTCTTCTTCTTCTTCTTCTTCTTCTTCTTCTTCTTCTTCTTCTTCTTCTTCTTCTTCTTCTTCTTTTTAATTTTTTTTTTGATTTTTCTGGATTTGCTTTGTTAGAGGCATTCCGATGTTGCTGGTAGATATATTATCTCATTTCCTATGAATTTCAAAGGATGCACTGGATGTTAAGCTGTCTAAATTCTCATGTGTTTTGCTCTTATTGTTCTTATCTACAGTTCCATAATATGCTGTATGGAGATACAAAAGGATGGGCGAAGAGAACTTGTTCTTTCTTGTATCCATATATTCCTGGTGTCATGAATCCTCATGCGAAGATTGTCCAGAAGTGGAACAAATTTTTTGTCATCTCATGCCTATTTGCATTATTTATAGATCCCCTGTTCTTCTTTTTGCTTAATGTCCAACAGGTATTCTTTTGTAGTTCTATGAAAGTAAAATTACTTTTTTTTTTTGGTAACTAAAACCATTTTATTACCACTGAGTATATTTACAGCTTGATAAGAACAAAAAAATAGGCTCCTACTTCACTGGACATTGCGTCCCCAGTGTTGTAAAATTACTTTTCCTTCTATATTTGGTTATGTAGGATAAGGCATACATTTTTTTGTGTAAAATTTGTCACTTAGCTTGTGCTACTTAGATCTAGGTACATGCAGTATATTTCCAAACTGCACATAATATGCCATGCTTTTACCTGGATAAGAAAGAATCAAGTCATTCTGTCTCTCACCCACTAAGTTTTACTACCATCTAAGATGTGCAAATTCATTTCTCTCAAAGTAGGAAGTGATTAGATTGGTGAAGAGATGATAGCTTTTGCAGAACCAGAATTTATTTAATATAATGAAAGTATGTCCTCCTGAAATTTTTGTGAGCATGACAGGCATATACAAATATGTAAAATGATCACTCATCACCTTGTGCATACTGAAATTAAAGTTTCCTTTCTGTATTGTTGCTTTATATGAGCTTCCTATTCTAGAAACTGTGAAGGAATCATAACTCCAATAATTACCATGCATAATAAAGAACATAACTTTCATTAGAGCAATAGTAAATTTGTCTCCGTGTGACCTATAAGTCACGGGTTCGAGCCGTGGAAGCAAGCACTAATGCTTGCATTAGGTAGGCTGTCTCTATCACACCCTTTGGGGGGTGCGGCCCTTCCCTTGACCCTGCGTGAACGGGGGATGCTTTGTGCACCGAGCTGCCCTTTTAACTTTCATGCAGACGACCTATCAATTATAAAAGACTACAAAAGGTTTGCTCTGAAATAAATGAACAGTACTGACTAGCTATGTAACACAGGTTTGTCATTAATACTTAGACAAGATCATGCTATGGAAAATCTATTTCATTCTAAGCCACTTTGAGCTCAAGAACATAGAGCCACTTTCTTATGCCTGAGATTAATGACCATTATCTCTTCAACTGAAGTTATTCTCGGAGGTTTTATGCATTTCAGGCTAAGAGTTTAAACTGTAAAGCAGAAGTCAGATGCTTTTGTAGTTATGTTGTGATCTTCAGACCTATCACTCCTTTAAATAATTGTTCAGACAAGATATTCCTTTCTTTCGATGAATCTTGAATCTAAAATGTCTGTTGTTATTAGGTATCATGGGAATTTTTATTCTATCTTGCTCATTAGAAATTTTTTCATAGTGCCAGAATCTTGTATATATGATAAACAAGGTTTACAATTGAATTAATTTTCTCTAAAAGATTCATCTTCTTGTTATGGTTCTAGGGGAACAAATGCATAGTGCTAAATTGGCACATGACAAAAATTATTGTGATTTTGAGGAGCATCACTGATATCATTTACTTAATGCACATTCTTCTTCAGGTAACATTTCCCATTTCTCTCTGCAGAATCCTTTTTTCTTTCTGATTAGCAACACCAATTTACCTGTGCAATATTCTTTGTGCACCATGTGAGCTCGTCATCTGGCACTCTTCTTTTACTGATCTAGCTGCATAACTGGCTTTTTGGTTATTTTGTGGTTGGTTTATAATATTTATCTATTATAAGAAGGTATGGAGGTCGAGCATTAGGATTATAGGTTAGGAGGTAGTCGAGCTTTTTTCTACTTCGAACCGGGGGTGAGGCTAGTTTGATAGGGTTGATCTTAGACGGCTAGTGGTTAATGTTGTGTTCACACTATCCTTTCGTTTTTCATAGCACCGGCCCTTATTTACTAGTTATTGTTATTGCATGTCATTTATTTTTTGATTCTTATGTTGCTGTTATTATTTCTATGGTTTCTGTTGACGGTACTGATATATTGTCTCTTCTCGTCTTTTCCGTTTTCTTGAGCCGAGGGTCTATCGGATACAACCTCTCTGCCCCATTGTGGGATTTTACTGGGTCGTTGTTGTTGTACTATATTGTTTCTCCAGAATGACATTTTTATTCTCCTGCAGATTATAGCTATTCCAGAAATATTTATTGGCAGTTCTACTGCATCCCATTTAATGCTTAGTCAATTCAATGTGACAACTAAATAGTTAATAGATCTTCAAAAGCTGGTTGACCTTACTTTAGTTACTTCCACTTTCCTGCATAGAGACAAGTGTTTGACACTCACTTTCGTTCATCTCATTTATTATTTCTATAATGTGTGGGTACATGATGTCAATTTTTTTGCAGTTCCGTTAGCTTATGTTGTTCCTGAATCTAGGGTGGTGGGAGCAGGTGACCTGGTTGACCACCCTAAAAAGATTGCTATAAATTATCTTTCTGGATACTTTGTTGTTGACTTTTTTGTCGTACTACCACTTCCTCAGGTAAATGTGTCTTCCCTGTCTTATGTTTCTCTAACCTACATTTCTGTGTACTCCATAATTAGACATGCTAGGAGCCAGTACTGATAGAATTAGTAATGAAAAGTTAATTCTCTCGCATATCTAAGTGCTTCTATGTACACCATGAACGCAATGACACCAACTTTTTAGCTGATTGTAGTAGGACAACCTTATGTTGACTTTATTGTACCCAACCTGAACATTGGAGTTCAGTTGTTAGTAAAGTTAATTCCCTTGTTGCCTTCTCTGCCACTTGTTGGTTTTGAGGTATAGTTAACATATTCGCTATGTGCAGATCATCATTTTGTTGGTTTTACCCAAGTCTATTGGATCATCTGGGGTAAATTACACGAAGAATCTATTGTGGGCAGCTATACTACTCCAGTACAATTCTAGGTTGTACAGGATTTATTATTTGGTTGCTGGCCAGTCTCCAAGTGGTTTTATATTTGAGTCAATATGGGCAACATTTGTCATAAATCTTCTCATAATTGTTGTATCAAGCAATATAGTGGGCTCATTGTGGTATCTTTTTGGTTTACAGGTGAAAACTTGTTCTTCACAGTACTTAGTTTTTCTGTTCCTTACTTCAATTTAATTATATCATTGTTTATGACATAGCCATTACTTCTACTTCTTAGTAGACTTCTGAGGGTAGAGGGGTTTTAGGGCATCCGTAAAACAAATATATTGAAAATCATTAAGTGCTTTCAACAAGTTTCCTTGTCCTTGTTTTCAAAACATACTCTGATTTAACCTGTTTCCTCCATTTCTAGAGGGTTAATCTATGCCTTCAAGGTGCTTGTCGCAGCTCAAACATAGAAAGGTGTATGGAGTTCATAGACTGTGGTCATGGCACCGATTACACAAAGTTTCGGTCGGATATTACATGGGACCAGTGGAAGAACAATACTGATGCAGTTGCTTGTTTTACTGAAGGTAGTTTTGACTTTGGAATCTATAAACAAGCAGTTGATCTCACCACCAAACAGAGTGTTGTCACAAGATACGTGTACTCATTCTTTTGGGGCTTCCAGGTATATTTACCCAGCCTTTATGATTGTGGGACGTAATCTGCTTTTTTCTATACCAGCTGTTAAAAAATTGAAATTTGTATACATGCTCTAGTGGATCTATGTATGTTTTGCTGCAGAGCTATTGATATTTCAATATGACGCCAGATTTAAGGAAGACTACTTCTTTAATAAAAAATTATTAATTTTTTTTTTGGGAATACAACGTAGGTGTCCCCCAATGTATTGGTCAAGTACTATGGTAGGCAAAAGGTTCGTTGTTTTGTAGGGACTTCTAGATTAGATCCACATTGCATGATAAGTTGTTCAGATATTGTCATACCTTTACCCTATGTTTGTAAACTAGGGCAAGGAAGGAAGGGAATAGAAAATTACCTGTAGGAAAAATAGCATGGTTGTCCTCTGCTGGGATGTATTATTAAACCTAAATTGGGTTTATCTGCTAAAAACTACGGTAGAGCTGTTTATGATCAGGGGCGGATATGCTTTGGCACCAGGTTCATCTAAATCTTGCATTTTCGACGTGGCGTATGGATTTTTATATGAAAACCCACAAAATTTCAACAAATATTAATCTAAACCCATAATTTTAAAAGTACGATGAGTTCATTGCTAAGAACCTTAGAGGTCAAACCCATCAAGTTATAATCCTGGATCCGGCTCTGTTTATCATTAGTCACGGTGGATTTAATTTTACCAAAGATGATGACAATGTGAACTTTCAACCATTTACGCGTTGGAGAGATCGTTTCTTAGTTTGCGCCAAAGCATTTGTAAAACATGCAGAAATTGTTGGGCCCAAACTGGAATTATAGCTCACTTTCCACTCCCTTAAATCAAACAAGGGATGGGAAATTACCTTCCCTTCTTTATCTTTCCCTATTTTCCAAACGTAAGACCAGGAGTCGAGCCGATATGATTAGTATTTTACAATTCTATTTCGTGTGTGTTTTTGGTTTCATTATGCTCCTATCTTCTTCCTTTTTTTTAAAAATTCTTTTTTACGTCTTATATAACTTTTAAGTCTTTGAGGAGTTTTCAATATCTTAATTTGACTTCTTGACTTTGATACTGACGTGCATGATTCTCTAGTCTCTTCTTCGTGTCAGTGTAAGGAATCATAGTTTCATCATGCATTTTGGGTATACTTTTTTTCTCTTTTTAGTTGGATGTAAGAAAAATTCACCAAAGAGAATCTGAGACTGCAAGGTTGAAGAACAATTTCATATCATAAGCAGCCTAGTGCACGAAGCATCTGTGTTCACGCAGGGTCGGGAAAGGGCTACACCCAAGGGCTTGGGGTGTGATGTAGGCAGCCTACCCTAATGCAAGCATCAGTGGCTGATTCCACAGTTCGAACCCATGACCTATAGGTCACATGGAATTCTGGAGCTCCACATTATACAGGTTTTGAAAAAGTTTACTCATCAAGCCGAAAAACAGCTAGTCTTTTTCCTGTTTCTCATGCCAGAAAACAAGCTTTGATGAGTTGATGCGATTTGAGCGCACACTAGCCATTACAAGTAATATAATCTAAAGAAGATGTGGATCCCACAAGAATTAGGTTATATATATATATATATATATATATATATATATGTGTGTGTGTGTGTGTGTGTGTGTGTGTATATACACGCACACACTATCAAAGCAATGTTGTTATATGCATTATCTGAGAGATCGATTTGGTGGTGAAAAGGTGGATCTACGACAAGTGAAATAGTTTACTCACACTTGAGATGAAACTGAGTCAGGGTTAAGAAGTTTATCAATGATAAATAACGTTCTGAAATCTATTTCACCTAATGCTCAAATCTGTGGTTAATAAGCATAAACTGCACTTAATTATTTCTCTAAAGTAAGATTGTCCTTTTGAGATACAATTGGTAATTATGAATTTTCTAAGCTTATAAGTTCTCCTTGGGAATTTATATCCGTAGATCCTTCACAATGCAAGAAGCACCATCACACTAGCTTTCTTAAAATGGTAACCGTCCTATATATGCAATGTCCTTTTCGCTGAATTGCCTATTCTAGATACTCTTGGTTCAAAGACGCCATTTCAGTTTAGATCTTAAAACTTGCATGCCACACTGAAGATCTTGCTTCAACACGACTCCATCAACATAGGCTCTCACCACATTACATAGATATTGCATATAACAAGTTTCACAAGCATAGATATACCATTTCATGAAAGCAAAAGTGAAGATCTATTAGTTAAACCTTAGATTTAAGCAAAAGGATTCATTTATTCCCAACTTAAATAGTGTTAACACTTACCATTATAGTGTTACAAAGAATCATGAAGAATTCAAAAAGAGGGAAAGAAAAAGAAATGAAGAACTAGAACAGAAAGCTTTGTTCTCAGATCTTCCTCCCTGTAAAATTCCCAAGAAGTCTGAGGACCTTATATTATGGAAGTTGAAATGCATGTTCCTCAAGGGGGGAAGAAAGTTCCCAAGAAGTCTGAGGACTTTATATGATAAAAGTTGAAATATTTGGTGCAAGTTGCGGAATGGCCTTCTTGTCGACTTTATGCTGCTTTGGTGTTGAATTTTGATACAGGGTCATTGAAGTGCTGTGGCAATTCTTCAGTGCTGCAGTGCTGAAAATAAAACCTTTTTCTTCCTAGTTTCTTCCTGTGCCACAGCAGCTAAACTCATAGTGCTGCAGCAGTGTGCTCTTCTGCTTATACTCTTCTTTTTTGCTGAATCTTGTAATTTTTCTTCTCTCCTACGTAATTAAAGTAATCAAGTCAGAAATTTACACAAGCATTAAAAACCCATCTTTGATTGAGCATCTCTTGGCAGAATAATATCAATGCAATTTCATCCAATCATGAGCCAACCCAGGAGCTTTGTACATTGCATTCACTAAGTTACTTGTGTCACTTAATGTGGAAATTATATTTTTCGACCCATAATTTTTAAATGGTGTATTCACAAAGCAAATTAGTACACTGGCTGGCAATCAAGTCCCGAGTTATTTTCTGTTGGAAGTTGTTTTCACAATTGCTATCATCGGAACGGGACTCCTACTTTTTGCACTCCTGATTGGAAATATGCAGAGCTTTCAGCAGTCTCTAAATCGCAGGTACATTTTACTATTCTAACTAAACTAGATCAGCATTTGTGTATGCCAAGGAGGCCTATTTTTAATGAAATGTATTTAATGATTGTGGATAAACATGTTTGCTATTCAGTTTTTCTGTTCAGGAAATGCTACTAGTTAGCAGAAGAAATATATTGTGAGGGAGTGTAACTATATTAATCTGCCACAAGAGTTATACATAAGTATTTTGTAACTATATCTCTCAACTGAAACATGAAGTCTTTGCCTCTTCTCAAGAAAAAGATTAGTTATGTGAGGGAAATTGAAGAAAGAAATGCTGGAGGAACATTTTTGGATAACAAAACTATTTGGTTGTGTGGAAATTTTGATACATTGGTCACCAGTCTTATTGTATAACATGATTAACGTTCTCTTACTTGAATGTAATTGTTTGATTTGTTAGTATGTCCTTGTCTTGATTGTGCACCACTTTTTGGGCAACTGTTGGTGAGCATTATTTTTCTCTGCAGGAGGTTAGAAATGTCTCTCAGGCGTCGTGATGTTGGACAATGGATGAGCCATCGGCGCTTTCCAGAAGAACTGAGAAGGTAGCCTTTGATGCTCTTGTTTCTTGACATCTAACTTCTATTATCTGAAGTTCTTCTTCTCCTTAATTTACCTGTATAGATTGATTGCATCCCTGGCTTGGGTATTTGAGGGCATACCTGATCTGCTATGCATCATCATATCTCACACCTATTTCCCGTTGTGGAGCCACGATTTTCACCAAGGGGATTCAAAATATAAAAAAGTACACACACGAAGCTACCAAGGGGTTTCAATATCTATTATATATACATAAAAAATAAGTTTAACCTTGTATATATAATGTAATTTTCAGTCTATGGGTTTCGGATGAACCCCCTTGCACTCCCTAGCTCCGCCCATGCTATCTTCATACTTCATTTGTTCTGGACCCCAGTCAAAGCTTGAAGTAAAACACTTAAAGTTTCTGTTTCGACTCTGCATTCCGCTGTCTAGGATATCACAGTTAAAGAATTATTAAGATTCTATTTATTTAGCTCAATCTTGCTTTATGTTCTGTATGTTTAGTCATGTGGGTTGCCAGTGCAGGAAGCTCAAATTAAGTATATTTCTAATTGATTTTTGATAAGAAAATGGATCTTTGGCCTAACTCAACCCCAAAAGCTAGCTTATGAGGTGAGAATTGCTTAATACCATATAAAGAGACCAAATATCCACATCCACAGGATGAGGGAACTCAACCCCCAACACCTCCCCCCAGGATGGGACATCTAGAGCGTGGGCGATATAAGATTGGGGCCTAACATCTGGTAAACCGTGAGTTGGGATTGCTTGGCTTTGATGGGGTGATAAGAAAATGGATCTTGGGACTAACTCAACCAAAAAAGCTAGCTCATAAGTTGAGGATTGCCCAATACTATATAAGGAGACCAAGTATCCATACCCCACCCGATGTGGGAACTCGACAATTGTTTGATGTAAATTTTAGTTTTATGAGATGTTGCATGGTTATTACTTGTCTAAATATCTAAGTTAATAGTCCTTACTAACTTCTAATCATATCCTTGATAGTCCTCTCTGGCTAGTGAGTCTTATGGTTGGATGTCCAAATACACTTTTATTGTTTAGCGTAATTAGAGTTTAATTTTGAGAACTAACAGAGAAAGGTTTTCATGCCCTTGTGAGTTTTAAGGACATAAAGTTCATTCTTCCTTCCCCACTTATTTCAATGTGCACTTGTCTTGTTTCCCTTCTTTTGTCCTGCATCCTAAGTGTTACACTGTAATCTTATGCAACTCCATCTGCATCCCAAGTATTACACCCATTGAGTTCTCTGTAGTGTTCCATATTGTGAGGAAGTTTCTCCTCACAATATCCATTCTTTTCTCCACATTGGCCGGTAAGGGGAATAGTTACATCACATAAGTTGGCATTGAGTGCAACACACAATTAGTTGATCGCCCAGAAAGAGATTGACTTTCCATCATGCTAATCTTTTCTCACATCTTTGATCTTTCTATCATTCCTTGCCATATTTCCTGTGACTTATACCCAAGGGAAGACCCAAATAGCTAGTTGGTGGGGAATCAACTTGGCAGTCTAGTATACCAGCAAGTATTGAAATTTGAAACAGTCTGCAATGGGTTCACAGAAAACATAAAACTTTTTCTCCAATTTACTTTTAGGCCATACTGTGTTGATTAGCATGATTAAATGAAATTTGATTATATCATGATTTCAGGAGATTTGATTATATTTAGGAGATTTGTTTTTGTTTGATTTGATTTGATAGCTGAATTGATTGTATAGATTTATTATATTTCCTTAATTAGCAGTAGGAGCTTTGTATTAATTTCCTTGCTCATGTTATGTAAACACACATAGAAATACAAGAAGCTTTTTCTTCTTCTCAAAATCTACATGGTATCAGAGTCATTGCAGCCTTTTTGAGGTGAATTATTTCCCTCGCAGCACTAGGGTTCCGTTTTTTCAAAGAGGTCGAGTTTTCTCTCTCTTGGTGGCTGTCCGCAACACAAACTCCTTCTAGTCGTTCTTGTCTGTTGGGATAGCTAGCTGGAACTTCCGAGCCTATCCCTACCAGTTTTGATTTTTTTGTTCACCAGAGTTAAGGTTCCTTCGAGACAGATATGGTTTACGGCGAGGCTGATTATTTTGGAGCAATTTCTTTAGATTTCCTTCTGATTGGGCAGAAGATATGGAGACATTCAAGAAGACAGTTTTCGGAGAAATCTTATCTTCGGATGAAATTCAACTTTTCGTCGCCTCCTAGCCAAACTTGACTTCGCTAATGTTGCCACATCCAATTATGTGCAATGAGGTACTACCTTTGCTGCTCACCTTAATTCTTGGATTGTTGATTCTGGTGCAAATAGACACATGACAGGCTCTTCTAAAGGCATTCAAAACTATTCTCCGTGTTTCAAAGGAGATAATGTTAAAATAGCCAATGGTTCTTTAGCACCTATCTCTAGAACATGTTCTGTCGTTTGTATTCCTAATATTAAACTATCATCCGTGCTCCATGTCCCTGAGTTCTCTGTCAATCTTTTATCTGTTAGTGCCATCACCAAAGTTCTAAACTGTAAAATCGAGTTATTTCTCGATCATTGTATTTTCAGGATCTTCAAACAAAGAAAAGTTTGGCAGTGGTAGATTGCGTGATGACTTGTATATATTAGATGGAATTCAAAACTTTGGTCAAGCCTTTTTTTTAGGGAAATAAGGACATTAACCAAGAAATAATACAGTGACATAAACGGTTAGGACACCCATCATTCTTTGTTTTGAAGAAGTTATATCCCGATTTGTTTTCAAGGACTCAATTTGAATCTTTGTTCTGTGATGCATGTAAATATGCCGAGCATACTAGGAACTCTTATCCTGTGAGTGATAATAGAAGCAGAACTCCGTTTATGACTATTCATTCTGATGTATGGGGTCTTACCTAAACTGTTTCTTTGACTGGTAGTCGATGCTTTGTCACTTTCATTGATTGCTGCACTAGGACGACTTTGGTGTATTTGTTAATAGCCAAAAGTGAAGTTTTCTCTTGTTTTCAATCATTTCATAAGATGATTTGTACTCAATTTGATGCCGAAATAAAAATCTTGAGGACCGACAATGCAGCGAATACATGGATAAAAGATTTAGTGCTTATTGGAGTCCAATGTGATTGTCCATCAGACTAGTTGTCCTTACACTAGTACACAAAATGGGGTCGTTGAAAGAAAAAATAGACATTTGTTAGAAGTAGCAAGATCTCTTATGTTCACCATACATCTACCAAAACCTTACCGGGATGTTGTTCTAGTGACTGCCTATCTTATCAACAGAATGTCACTTTAAACCCTCAATTTTCAAAGTCATCTCGAAGCTTTAAAGGGTAAGAATGAATATACTGTTCCTTCAAAGGTGTTTGGGTGTGTTTGCTTTGTCCATACTAGGAATTCTGGTAAACTTGATCCTATAGCTATAAAGTGTGCTTTCATTGGGTATTCTCCCGCACAGAAAGGTTACAAATGTTATCATCCTTCATCTAGAAGATCTTTTGTTAGCATAGAGATCTGAGCCCTATTTAGTATTTCCTCATCACCTCTTCGGGGGGAGAGTAGTAAGGAGGAAGAGGTGATTCTATTTAGTTCCATTACTGGACCTCTTGATGACATTGTCATATGGGAAAGTGAAATTAGAGAAAGAATTCAGGGGGAAATTATTGGGCGTTTGGATAGGCCTGATTTGATAACTCACTCAAGAAGAAATAAAGCAGAAGAAGCCATCATGCAATCTACTGAAGCTGAACCTTCTTCTTTTGGCGAGTTATCTACATTTTCTAATGAGTTATATGTGCTTATTGCTCACAGAAAACGAGTTAGATCTTGCACCACCAAACACACTTTATCTAATTTTATCTTCTATAATTCTTTGTCTCCCTCCTATAGAGCCTTTGCCTTGTTTATTTCTTCTATGTCTTCCTCAGAATTGGAGGGCAACTTTTGCAGATTCCAAATGGAAGCAAGCTATGATTGAAGAAATGAAGGCCTTGTCAAAAAATGACACTTGGGAACTTGTCACTTCACCATCGACAAGAAGTTGGTTGGCTGCAAATAGGTCTTCACTACGAAGCACAAAGCTGATGGCTCAATTGAAAGACTCAAAGTAAGATTGGTGGCTAAGGGATTCACTAAGACTTATGGAGTGGATTATCAAGAGACATTTGCCTGTATTGCTAAGATGAACACTATTAGTATTCTTTTGTTTTGTGTAGCTGTCACACCTCCTTTTTTCTACCCCAAAAATGGTATAAGGGAGTTTTTCCAATTTAAGTGACAATCGAAACGGGATTATTTAGATCAAAATCAGAGTCGCCACTTGGGATAATTTATGGTGTCCCAAGTCACCGGTTTAGAATCCCGAATCGAGGAAGTTTGACTCTGTTTTACAGTCCGCGAAACACAGAAATCCGGGTAAGGAATTCTGTTAATCCGGGAGAAGGTGTTAGGCATTCCCGAGTTTCGTGGTTTTAGCACGGTTGCTTTAATCATACTTGGCTTAATTAAATTGTCTAAATACTTATTCTTAAACCTATGTGCGTTTATCTCTTTTAATTAGGAAATTATCTTAAAACAGGTCACGCGTACGTGTACCCATTTGTTTGGCGCGTCAAAAATCATGTCATGCGTACGTGTCCACAATTAATAACGCTTTATTATTATTAAGAAATTTTAGTCGAAGTTTTGCGAACGCATACTCTGATCTTGTTTTTAAGATCGTAGTTACGTCACGCGAACGTGTACGCAACAACGATAATATATTAAATCGCGCCTAAAGCAACTACGCAATTGTTCCTCATTTATTTGTCTTAAACTAATTTAAGGTTTGTAAAGCCATAAGAGTATGGAAATCATTGTAGAAAATCATGAGATAGATTAAATTAATTATTCAAGGACTACAAGGGGGCCACTATATAAGATTAATGGGCCTAGCATATTTCAAGCTTTGGCCCAAAGATAAAATAACTTTCTTCATTAGTCTACAGTAGCCT